ATATTATATTTTAGCATTAAAAAACATTACTATAATTATACTTTATTTGTATAAAAAATGTCATTTGCAACAATTTTATAAACATATATATCATCATTGTAAAATATACTTCGTATTATACATTATATATATACATATACATACACACACACACACACACACAGATACATACATATATATTGCCACATATACATTCTCTAATGATGTATCATTATTTAATTAGTCTATTATTTATTATAATGTTTTATTCATTAAAACCATTTCCATTAGTACTTCATTCAATAATGGCCTTTAGTTTTGTATAAAAGTTTTGTTTTTAAATAAACATACCAATATATATTCCACCAGTTTAAAACATATTTTCTTTACATAATTAAATTATATCTATAAAACAATGTAACTTTATAAATGTTTTGAAAAATAAAGTTTTAATTTATATGATTTTAAAAAAAATAAATAATTTCTCTTTTACTACTTTTAAAGAAAATACTTATAGATTCTTTAGTGCATGTACATCTATATTTAAATTATATTATTTGAAAAGATATATATCTTAGAGTTAAAAAATTATTAATCTAACACATATTATTTCACTATTAGAAAACTAAAATAAATAAAATCATGTTTATAGAATGTCAAAAATTTAGAATGTATACGAGCCCGTGCGAAGCACGGGGTTAACACTAGTAATAATAATAATAACATTACAAATGGTAACCTACTCCTACAGTTTTAAAGATTTCCAAAATCCCAAAGCTCTCCAAGTCGTGTATATATTGTCCTCTTAATCGTTGTTTCAATATTCTTTCTTCACCAACACACTACCCGGATCAACCACGGAGAAGACCAGAGTGTTTTGACGGAATCCATCTTTAGCAATTTGAGACTCTTCATCAATTAAATCGAGGTGAGTTCATGGGTTTGTTCTAGCATAGAAATCATAGATAGCCTTAATTTGTTAACATAGGCAATTATTTGATTATGTGATTAATCAAATAATTTGATTATGATTGTGTTAATCGTAGATTCGTTTATGTGAATTATTTGATTATGATTGTGTAGTTATAATTTTATTGGGAATTGTTGATCGTTGAAGGCCAGGTACATTTTACTACTCAATATATTTTTGTTATGTGTGCTAGCAATCTCCATACGAATTACTCCCTCCGTCTCCCAGTTTTTGTCCACTTTCATTTTTGCACACCATCCAATGCACTTTTTTAATCTATTTTATCATGTAATTTGTATATTAAAAAATTATAGAAATTATATATTAATAATCTATATGTTAATACAAATCAAACAAGATCACACATGACTTTATTTAGGCTTACACATTGAGAGAATTTGATGAGTCAAAGTGCTTAGATGAACAGTTCCAAAAGTCAAAAGTGGACAAAAACTGGGGGACGGAGGGAGTATATGTTTTTAATTTTTGGAACTGAATCCAAACTATGAACATCATCTTCAATTCCCGACGGGGGACAGTAGGGCCCTATTGTTCAAATGGTAGTTGACTAACGTCGCAGTCACTCTTTCGAAGTCGGAAGGTAGCTCGGTACCATCTAATGATACCCTGCTACCGCCACAAAAGGGGATATGTTGCCAGTACCTTCTCCCAAATGGTAGGTCGGTATCGGCCAACGGTACCAAGGTACTAACTAGGGGGTACCGGGGTACCGTAATAGGTACCATATCTGACCCTTTTTCATGTTTGCTTGTTTCAATCCAAGTCACACATTGATTTCGAGATCTTATGTGTTGCATGATGGGAAGTGGGAGTTGTTTACACCTGACACTAGGCTGCTATTTTTAATATATGATGATTAATCTGATTATTGTTATCTTTCTTGTGATAATTAAATATAAACCTGATATGTCTTGAATGTGAATATAGTAAACTGAGATTGTTGTTGGCATAAATCTGGATATGTATGCTAGATGCCTTGCACACCTTTAGGGGGATGACTAGAGGTGTTCTTGGATTTTTTTAAACTTTCTCAACAAGGCACAAAACACAGTAGAAAATCCAAAGAAAGATTAAAGTAAAAAGAATGAATGGAAAGAGACAACGATATAACCTGGTTCGGCTTAATGTCTACGTACAGTCCCCAAGGAAAACAAGCTTGAGATTCCACTAACTTCGTTAAACTGAACGGAGTTTAACAATCCAAATACAACTTAAAAGCTTGATTTCACAAGACTTTAACGTTTCCACCGAAGTCTTGATTTCACAAGACTTTAGATTTCAATCCAAAACTTGAATCGTTTCAAATTCAAGTTTTTTACAACTTAAAAACTTACAAATCAAAGTGCACCACAGAAAATACTCTTTAAACAAGATCAGATTTTCTATAGATTACAACCAACGTATAGTGTGGCATACTAGAACTCTCCAAACTCCAAATGAAATAGATTTCTCTAAGAAGCACTTGGCAATTGAGTAGGAGGATGATAGTATAGAATAGAATTCTTTGGATAATCAAAGGGATATGTTTTTCAATAGTTTCTTGGTATTCTCTTATTTGAAAAAATGAGATATACAGAAGTTATAAACAGATAGGATGATGTAACTTCCAAAATATTTGAAAAAATGACCGTTGGACAGTTCAAACTGTCGAACTATTCTATTAAAAGTAGACTTATTCAAATAAGTCAGGCTAAACTCGTAGTTGCAGGATCCAGGACTTATTCGAATAAGTGTGAAACTATTAATAGTTACAAGATCCAAGACTTATTCGAATAAGTGTGAAACTATTCGAATAAAATAGGATGAACGGCATGACTGGAAAGCTAACCTTATTCGAGTAGTTTGAGATTTTTTTAAATAGTTCAAAACAAAGTTCAAAGTGCAGAAATGAAGACATGCAAATAAAATCAAATTTATTCGAAGAAAAATTTGAAAAATGCCATTCTTTGAAAAGATTTAATAAAGAACTCAAAAACCATTTTTTAGAAAAAAGTTTTGGAAGAATGGAAGATTTGGAGAATAAAAAAGTGTGTCATACTCTTTACCAGAAGTGCTAAGACTCAAGAAAAACAAAAAAGATCTGGAAAACCTCTACATCTTCAAAGCTTGACTTGATATCCTAAGAAACATGTTAAGCACTCCAAAGAATCATCAAAAGAACCATAACATGTTTGTCATTATCAAAACACAAGGGTCAACAATGTAGAGGTGCAGTAAATAAATGGTTAGTCTACCTCAAGAAACTCAAGGACTGCTCGAGGGTGATTGTAAGTGTAAATGGAAATAGGTAGAATCAGCCTTGCAAATCTGGTATCTCATGGCTACGGGTTAAAACAAACGTACGGGATCCTCAAACTGTCATTCCGAAAGGGACATGGGTACCATCCACCTAGCAAAGAACTCTTTTGTTGGTAAAGTCGTGTTGTAATGTGTTATGTCTGTGTTGTTGTTAAAATAGTCTTACCCTAGAATATGTTATGAGCAAGTGTTGGATATGAGCTATTGTAATTGCAAGAACATGAATGTTGAGTTAATAACTGATTAACTAGAGAATCAAATTATTAAGGTAAGTGTTGTATGTGATATTGTTAATACTATGAAATATTTGCACTAAATAGCACTAAAACTTAAGTCAATTCCCTAAATAGCACTTAAATTGTTTTATTCCCTAAATAGCACTTAATAATGTCCAGTGATGACGAATATTTACTTGAATAATGACTAATGCATAATGACTAAAAGTGCTACATTGAGAAGAAAAATATATGCGGTGCTATTTAGGGAAAGTCATTATGTTTTAGTGCTATTTAAGTAAATTCCTCTAATACTATTTGATGTTGTCATGTGATATTACTTGTGCATGAAATGCTATGAACAATTATGTATGTTGAATGAATCCTATGTGTGACTTCTACCGTTAGAACCTCTCACTCAGCATGAAAGCTAAACGTGTAGTTTGTTTTTCTTGCTACATGTAGGTAACAGAAATAACAAGAAAACAATCCTGGTGAGCAGTATGGATGGGATGACGTGTGGATGCAGGCTGATGAATAAATTTAATTAATATTCGTGTTTGAATTTATAATGTTTTTCGGGCAAGAACCTAAAGTTGTGTTTTGAATTAAATATTTAAACTTTCGCACCGTTTTGTTAACTCCAATGGATATTTAAATAATATTTTTGAATTGAATGTTTTAAATTGTTTTGAAAATATGAGGTGTTTGGATGTCAATCCAGTAGCAACCTGATTCTCTAGTACATGTATTCGAGCTATGCGAGTCGGGGTGTTACACTACCCTTGTCTGGCTGGGTCTGAGGGGGACCTCAGGCCCAATACTTTGTGTCAATGTGAACCATCAAAATGTTGGTACATACCTTTGGTGTATGAATGGAGTATAAAGTTTGGAGTATATGTGGCATGCTCCAACTAGGAAATACTCCCTCCGTCCTAAAACTTTTTTCCCACTTCCCCTTTTTCTCCGTCCTAAAACTACCTACCCATTAGAAAAAAAGATGACAAATGACATTAATACCCTCATGTATTTACACCAATTATCTCCTAACTCTATATTTTGAATGATTGCAAAAAAAAATTCAGAATTTTTTTTTAAGGAGGGTAAAATTTGAAGTCAAAACCAAAAATTGAAAATGTAAAAAAGTCAAACTGAGAAGAAAGTTTTAGGACGGAGGGAGTGTAATTTTTCCAAAAAATTTAGGGAGTGATCTATACTTTCCTATTTGAGGTTGTTCGAAAGGATAAAGCTACTTGTACCCCAAATTTGTGTACCCATTTGTACACCGCAGGTTTGCACCGACATTTTGTATCGGTGTAAAACTAATTTTTACTAACGCACCAATACTTTGTGTCCGTGTAAATTTTTGTTAACGCACCAACAATTGTGTCGGTGTAAACCATCAAAATGTTTGTGCATAACTGCAGTGTACAAATGGGGTACAAATTTTGGTGTAAATGTAGCATGGTCCTGTTCGAAAACGTTACAGTTCGATCGACAATGAATTACTAGGACCGACCCCGCTTTCCTGGCCCCAGCATATCTTGATGTCTTGGTACTCCCGATGAACCGCTTTCAGATTCTTCGCTCAATCCTTCATAACATCACTTACAGAGTTTTGGGATTTTGGATCTGATGATTCTCTTGTCTTAGTTGCAACAGCAAGTAATTTCTTGGGACTTTTTGTGCCCTATATTATGTTTTTCTAGTTCATTTTTGGAAGTTAATTTCTGGATCTAAAAGGTCGTATATTTGCAGCTGAGAGGGACTATCTTACGAATTATTGAGGTACTTATTGTCTGAGCTGAATTGCAGTCAAGTATCTTGTCTCGAAAAAACAAACTTGTAGGATTTTGGAATAAGATATTTTGCTTTCATACAGTCTTCTTTCTTGGTCATCCATGAAATGAGTTTAAAGGAGATTGAAGGTGGGTTATGTGTTTTCATCTGTCTGTGACGGTATTTACCTTTTTTTTATTCAAGAACTTTTTTGGGCTACTTTAAAAACACCGAGATTTGAAAGGGTTTTAACATTTGCAGTTAAAAGTTGAAGCTTTGGTCTGGAAAACGAGACAATCAATGAGCTCATCTGGGTTTTTCCTTCTCTGTATGCTTCATTCTTTGGTGGCCTTAAGCTGTGGAGCTTTGATGATGTTCTACAGCAATGATCTGCTTGTGTTTAGCCATGGCAGAGAGCGTGCCAGCAAGCTTTTAGGATCAACACCTCATGATCAGCTGATAATCCAAACATCGGATTCATTTTCGGGATTGCTCTTGTTTGCAATCGGATTTCTCTTGTTCATGGTTGCATTTGTAAGGGATAGGGATTTCCATAGCTTCTTTGCTAAAGGGTGTGTGCTTCTCCATGTATCCATGGCAGTTTGGAGAATCTACTTTGAGAGGAAGGTAGAGGGCCTTGGCCGCGATTGGCTGAGGCTGGTAGTTGGTGATCTTGCCTTGGGTCTCTCTTGGATTTTCTTCCTCGTGTACTCTTGGAGGGAGAAGTATGATTAATCCATCGGTCTCGGGTTTCCCTGAACCTGCATTGCTCTCAATGAAATCCCCGCTGGCTGGATCTTGTTTTCAACGTGCTTCTGAGGATGAAAAATTGTCAGCTGGTGAATTCGACTTTAATTGATCGCGATTTGATTTCTTTGTGTGTATCTTCACATCCAATATGTTTGAGTTACAAGCATGTGAATATGGATATGAAAGACAGGTTTAAAACCCATTTTCATCTATTGCCTTCTGGACATAGCAATAATTTCTGGATATACCCTCAGCCTTGAAGGGTCGTTTGCAGGAAAAAATTCTCCTATATTCTTTAACAAGTGAAAGCCATTTACTCTTCTTGTTTCCCTCCCAAATTCTGAAGAACATGTATTCACCTAATCCCCTTCATGTACATTTTTCCGGATAATAAAGTTTATTTGGGTTTTATCGGTATGGGTTCCAATGCTTATCTGGGTTTTTTTATGCATATCCTGCATTCCTGCACTTGTTCCTCTTCTATCTCTGAATCTCAGTTGTGTTGCTTGCATTGATTAATTTATCTGTTCTTACGCGATGAATTTTGAGATTATTCTTCATTTTAATCTTTTACTCTTTTTTTAATATTTAAATCTTGTACTCCCACGACACAATTGGTTCTTTAAATGCTTAAAAGCACGGGAACAGTCAAGGGATTTTAGGAAGAACCATATTACTTCTACACTAGAGAGTGGACTCCATTTTGTACACTACAGATAGTCTACTGTCATTTTGATGTTGGTTCAGATTTGTACAAAAAGCTTGGCGATCGAAAAAATTTGTACTAGTATTTTGTGTTAGTGTGAACCATACTGCTGAAATGCACTACTACAAGTACAAAAAGCATTAGGCAGGCTGAAAATTCACCATTCTCATTTCTTGCAATAAGAAGTACTCCCTCCGTCCGGAAAAAATCTTCCCGTTTCTCTTTTTTCCCCGTCTGGAAAAAATCTTCCCATTTCAATTTTTAATCCCAATTCTTCCAAAAATACCCTTATCATTCTTCTTCTTCTTCTTCTTCTTCTTCTTCTTTCTCTTTGTCTCTTCCTCTTCCCCGTACATCTCATCTCTTATTTCTCCCCCAGTCCCCCTCTTCTTCTCTTCTTTCTCCCCCTCTTTTTTTCCTTCTTTTTCTCTCCCTTCTTATATCTCTTCCATCTTCTAGATCTAAGCATGGCGGCGGCGATTGTGGCGGTGACAGCGACGGAGACAGTGAGTCTAGATCTACATTTCTTCGTCTTTTTCTTCTTCATCTTCTTTTAGATCTAAACCACGGTGGAGGTGGGGCTGGCGCCGATGGGGAGGCTGCCGGAAGTGGAGTGGCGGCGAATCGGCGATGGTGAGGAGAAATGAGTGTTGGTGTGACAGGCGGCGAAGGAGGTACTAGCGACGATGGTTGGGACGGTGATTGTCGGGCTGGTCAGGAGGGGAGGGAGAGGGAGGGCATTTTAGGGAAACTACACCAATAGTCAACCCTTCAAAAAAATGAAGAAAAGTTGCCAATATATATAAGAGCTAATTCTCGTGAGAAATCCCTTTATTGAAGACCGGACCGGACCGGCCGGTCCAACCGGTCGACCCGCGAACCGGCAACAAATCCGGTCCGTTTCACTGAAGAAACCCGGCTCCCTTTTGACCCGCCCAAATCCGTCGGACCCGGTGAACCGGGTGACCCGGGTCGACCCGTCCGGTTCCCGGGTTTGGGCTTAAATCTACATTTTATTAAATTTTTAGACATAAAAATTGAAAGTGGTGGCTGGGAATCAACCCCAACACCTCCCGTATACTAATTCAAGTTGTCAACCAAGTGAGCTACTCAATCTTTGTTCAAAATTTAGGTATCAATCATATGTATTTAGGGTTTTGCAAAAGGTTCATACAAAATTAATACTAGTATGTAGTTTTTTGTGCAAGTGTGAATTATTTGTATTTATGAACTTTTAAAATAGTTTTAAAAATTGAGAATAATTTAATTTTTATTTGAAAATAAATATACTCTGTATATTTTATATTTAAAAAATTGTTGTCTTCAAAAATTAAGTAATATTATTAATTACGGAGTATAATTTAATATGCTATATTTTTNCATACAAAATTAATACTAGTATGTAGTTTTTTGTGCAAGTGTGAATTATTTGTATTTATGAACTTTTAAAATAGTTTTAAAAATTGAGAATAATTTAATTTTTATTTGAAAATAAATATACTCTGTATATTTTATATTTAAAAAATTGTTGTCTTCAAAAATTAAGTAATATTATTAATTACGGAGTATAATTTAATATGCTATATTTTTTATTTTCAATCATTTTAATCAACTAAATATTTGTTGGGAATAAACGCACGCGGAAACAACACACAATCACGAATCAACTGCAGAAAAATAAATGACATAGAATTTAACGTGGTTCGGCCGTCAACTGCAACCTACGTCCACACGGGGCAACTAGGAGGATTTTATTATTTTTGTTGCACACAATTACAAGCGCATTAGCATCTCTTAAATAGAGATTAGTTAGGGAGACAATGATTAAGCCGTAAGCTTCTAGGTAGCTTCCTGCCAATTTCCTGTTAGCTTCCACCTAGCTTCCTGGCTTCACACTCAACAATATTAACTTTAAAATGTCATATGTATATAAGAATAAAATATACAGTCTTTAATTTTAGAAAATATGAGTGTCGTCTTATTATTTAAGTATTTGTTAGAGATTCAGTATTAACTTTTCATAATAATAAAAATAATAAAATAAAAATCGAAGGTGTGAAATATCATATGTATAAGGATATTAAAAAAGAGATGGAGAAATAATAACATAAATTAAAATATTTTATTAACTAAAAATATCTAATATATCATAAAATATTATTATTATAAACATAGTTGACCGGGTCGTTGACCCCCGGTTCAACCGGTTCGACCGGTCAACCCTTGACCCACTACCTCGTCCGAGTCGACGTCCGGTCCGGTTTTCAAAACATTGCTTTATAGTGAAAGAAATAATAAAGAAGAAAACCTTGCCACGAGACGTATCTGATGGTTATTAGTCGCGCAGGTGTGCATACTAAAGTGATAATCCGAAATGCATTTAAAAGGAAACAATTGATCTTGCGCATGAAATTAGGAAGTGGAGGGCATATTGGTAAAATTGGAATGCATAATTTAATCATCAGTAATCTATTTGAAGAAATATTAGACGCATCAAAAGAAAAGAGAAGCATTTGTTACGTTTTTTCATTCCATTTTGCAAGTAGTCAAAATATTTCAAATGGATGTCGAATGTTTTCGAAAAGTAATGTTTTACAGACCTGGTCGATGTTCTACTCCATTATGAAACGAGGACTATCTTTGACAAAAAGTTTTCTTGCGTTGTGACTTACTTATGAAAGGGAGTGATGTTAGATTCAATTAGACATTAAAAGATCCTATCATATGGTAAAAAGTTTTGTAAGTTCAAAGTAGTACCCTATTAAGAACAATGGAATATTTATCATTAATTAAATAATAGGGTTTGGCAGTGTTGCTATCTAGAATTATAACTCAGGTATGAAATGAAAAATTACACATTTTGACTTCTCTAGGGTTTACTATGAAGGATTGGGAATTAGAGTTTATTGTCAACTCAATTTTATTTTTCCTCTTCTTCCTCCTTCGCTATCCTCTTGCTTCTGGCCCTTCCTTAGTCTTCTCTTCAATTACATTGCCGATGTAAGAGGAAAGGTTTGGTGCGATGTATAATGGGCAGGTGCGAGGAAAAGTAAGATGGTATCTGAAGATAGTTGAAATAGTCTGAGTCAGAAAAAAGCGTGAAAATCATTAAACGTTTGTGGAACGTATAAAGATTGCTTTGACCTTAGCTCTTCAAACTCAAGGGGCAATTTTGGAATATTACATAGGTGTTTTTAAAGGTGGAGGGCCCACCACGGGTGCCTCTCTCTTCTGTCCTGACATTACAGTGATGAGGATAAATCATGGTATAATCTTAGTTAGGTCCTTAGAGATGTCGCCGCGTGCTCGGTGCGCACAAGGAGCTATTACAAAGAATAAGACTTCCACACTATTGCTGCAGGGATTTGATCCTATGATCTTTGGGCATGACATTCTCCCTTCAGACCAACTAAGTTACCTATGCTAGCCACATGGGCATTTTCAAGTGAGGGTAGATGGAGGACAATCTCATAATATAATCTTTTTTTGGATAATTTCATGAAAGAAACTATTTTTTAAGGGTACTTCACCCACAACTCATGGAAATTTCATGTACAATTCTTAGGTCTAGAATAATTTTAAACCCTATTACATTAATTGATTATATGTATTGGGCCTTATAAAAATAAAAAGGTCCTACTTTGAGCCCATAAGAAATATGAAAATATGAACTTCAGGACCATAATAGCACTAACTATTCAAAAAGGCAAATTATTACGTAGTCATAAGGTCCATGTTCATTTATGGATATTATTCTATTGATATTATAAAAGAATTGAGCTCTTTATAAAGAAGAAAAGATCTACGTGCAAAGTCATGAAAAGTGTAAAAAGGTCTACATTTCACATGTAGACCTTAGGACCACCATCAAAAATTACGTACTTTTATATAAGCCACAGAATCATTGGTTGTCTCCCACCTCTCACTTTTATCAAAGTAGCAGAATGATTGTTTATGTGATTGTGAGAGGCCCTCTTTAAGGTTAAGGGGTATCAGGAAGGGAAAGCTAGCAGGAAGGCCGTGCTGGCACGACAGGATGGAGTTGAACACTGCCCTCCCTATGTGGGAAAGGGAAAGGCGGATTCCCCTCTAGTTTTCCCGTGCAGCTCTCTTCTTCTTTTTGAATTGTTGTACGGTCATTTGCAATTTCTTTTTTTGAATTGTTACTGTAAAAATACAAAAAAATATAAAATTAAAAAAAAAATCACTATTTAAACACATCTCTCCACTCAATATTTTTATACACTTCCATCCATCTCTTTGAATTGTAGTAATATTTTTGTTTAAAATTTTTCACATTTTCAGACCCCGTCCGTAATTTCGTAATTTATATTTATTTAATGCTGGGGTACCCCAGCATTAAATAAATATAAAATAAAACCCCCGTCCGTAATTTCGAAATTTATAGTTGACTTAGCGTACCTACCCTATATGGTAGGAACTGTGTTAGACACCCATCTGATCAGTAAACGTGAAGCCCTGTCATCGATTACATACAGTATGAGAACGGCTTAGTTTCATTTGAAACTTGGGATTTCACACTGATAATATCTATCAATATACTGATAATATCTATTAATATCTATCAATATATGCTATTAGAGGTGCGTATAATGTGTTATGTTTATGAATATTTTCAAAAGATAATATCAATGCAGCCACTACCCTTTCATTTTAGTTAACCTTTAGAGTAAACAACCCTATGAAATAGGTTTGTTTACTCTAAAAGGCCACAAAATTTGTAACTACTTTTTTTAATGATTCTGTAACACCTCGACCTGCATAATCTGAATACGCGAACTACGAGATCGAGTTATCACTATATTGGCATCCAAATACAACATATTTTCAAAATGATTTAAAACATTTAATTCAAAAACATTAAGGAACGATCCATCGGAGTAATATCAAAACTGTGTGGAAGCTTAATTACTTAAATTAAAATAGAATTCTGGGTTCTTGCTCAAAAATATAATAAATTCAAACTGAAATTTTAAGTAATTAAATGAACTCCTCAGCTAGCATCCATCCATATCTTTATCCTTACTGTCTTCAAGATTGGTTCTTTATTCATCATTCATGTTACCTACGTGTAGCAAGTAAAACAAACTGTTAGAATAAAGTCCCAACGCTAGAGAGGGGATGAATAACATCCATCTATATCTTTATCCTTATTGCCTTCAGGATTGGTTCTTTATTCGTCATTCATGTTACCTACGTGTAGCGAGTAAAACAAACTATTAAAATAAAGTTCCAGCGCTATAGGGTGAATGAATAGCGTTTGAAACAAATCACGAGAAATTAAAAATAAAGTAAATGGAAAGTAAAGAGCTTAAAGAAAGGTACGCCGAATTTTTACTAGTTCACCACAACTTGAGAACTCAAACTGCAGTTCAAGTTTTTTTTGGTGACTTACACTCTCCCGAATTCTTAAATAAGATTCGTACTTCTGGTATACCAAATCATGAGTTAACTTTGAAGGTAGGCACACCTATTATGTTGTTGAGAAATATTGACCATTCAATGAGTTTATGTAATGGTGCATGGTTGATAGTAATCCGGTTGGCTAATCACTCAATACAAGAAAAAATATTATTAGGAAGCCACATGGGTGAAGAAGTCATTATTCCAAGACTATCATTAACGCCATCCGATACAAAAATTCCATTCAAATTTCAAAGAAGACAAATCCCTGTGGTTATTTCATATGCAATGACGATGACTAAGAGCCAGAGACAATCTCAGAAACATGTTGCATTATTGTTACAAAAACTGGTGTTTAGTCATGGACAACTGTATGTTGCAGTTTAAGAGTAACTAGTTGTAATGAGTTAAAAATTTTGATATGCAACGAAGACAATGTTCCCACAAATTTTACAAATAATTTAGTATATAAAGAAGTCTTTGAAATTTGTAAATCAGCAATGTTTTATATCTTAAAATAATATAATATCTATATTCTATTATATGTCATTTTTTAGCATTAAAAAATGATCTTAATTTAATTAGGTAAAAAATGGGTCGCAACACGCAAGTGTAATAGTACTATTATAAATGGGAAGAGAAAGGAAGATAAAAGGAAACAAAAATGCTAGGTGTACACCATTTGGGGTACCCCATTTGTACACCTCCATCTCCACCACACAAAGCAAGAGAGAGAAAAAAATAAAAATAAAAAAATAAATGAAGGACTAAGATGCATGGCGTACAAAATGAGGTAATGGGGTACCAGTATCATTCCTCAGAAAAGAAAAGCTCACCCGAGTTGACATAAGCCGCGGATGGATTGGGTAATTTGTTTTTCTCAAAACCGTCTCCCTCCCTCCCACCTCTCACTTCTTTCAGAGCCTTCTCCCTCTCTCTCCCACTTCTCACTTCTCTCAAAGCCTTCTCCCTCTCTCTCATACCTCTCAATCTCTCTACGGTGACTGCACACCGCCACCCCACCGCTGCCAGCCTGCCTCCCGTGACGGCACTATACCACCCCTGGACTCACGAATACCAGCGGCTCTGGTCTGCGCCCCTGACCCTGCCCCTGCCCCTGCGCCTCCTCTTGGTGAATGGTGAGTACTTTTAAAATTTAAAGAATATGGTTTTAAATTTGTAATTGCTTTGGTACATATTTTGCATAAACTGTAGGACAAAAAAACTTTACTTGATTTTAATATAGTTTGTAAATTATTATGGGGGAGATAAACCACAAATCGATTTTGTACTCTCAGATATGAAGATAATTTAATACTCCTATTTTTTGGATATAACAACAACCAAGCCTTAACCCCACTAATAATTTTATTTATTTTGTTCTAAGTAGGATGCTTTTTAAATTGATTTTGTAAATGTTTTGAGAAACCGATAACTTTTCAAGCGAACTTTTTTAGTGATGATTAATTTATAGCTTGATTTTTTTCTCCTAATGGGTGTTGTTTTAATAATTTTTTTTTGTGAAAAATTAATATGAGGATTATGCTCAAGGGAGAAGGATGAGAGTAGGAGTAAAATGGGTATGAAATGCCTAAAATATGAGTAACTCTTTGGGTATTGTTAAATCCACCCCAAAAAATGGCTATATCCACATCTTTTTTCTGTATTTTCTAAATTCAGACCCACTAACATAACTTTAACATTGGTGTGGATATAGCAAATTTAAGTGAAAGGGGTGGATATAGCCATTTTTGGGGTGGATTTAGAAACACACTAACGTTTTTAGATATAAGTAGGAGGTATATGTTCATAGAGTGACACATTTGCCCTTATTTAATGAGAACATTTCCACACTGTCATACTCTGCCGCCACACAACCACCCTCCACCGTCACATTGCCACCTTTGGCCACCACACTGCCACTACCGCCGCCACACTACCAACTCTTCCGCCACACTGCCACCACGATTGTTGCCACAATGCCAACTCTGCCGCTACACTGCCACTCTCCGCCCTGACATTACCACCACCACCACCAATGCCACACTACCAATTCCACTACGACACTGCCAACTGCGCTGCCACAGTGGCCCAAAGTTTACTAACCTTATAATCTTTAGTAAAAATGATAAAAAGGGATAATAATAAAATGGTAAAAAGGTTGATAACTCAATGGAGAAGTGTAGGCACACAAAATTGTCGTTGTTGAGAATTTCCACCATGTTTCACGCCACCTTCACAGGCGGCACCATCTAGTGAATGAAGATGGATAGGGTTGAAACACCATGACAATAACAATAACCAATCGTCGAAGGGAAATCGGACGTCATTGCATCCGCCACATGTTAGATCTCACTACAAATCTCTCAGTTACGCTCATAAGTCCAAGTGCGACGATGATTTACCATTAAAGAAGAGCTCCATGGCAAGGCTGTGAGCCAGTGAGGGAGCGATGCAGCGGCGGCAAAAACAAGCACTGAGTCCAGATTGCCAAAGAAGTCCCCCACCACCATTGGTCTGCCCGAACTCCCCACGGATCTAATTGGAATCCCCACTTTGTGATGCAGCTGGATGAACTGTAGAACATATTTATTTTCTCGAATTGCTTGGATACTCGTGCCCTTGGAATGCTAGCTTTGGCCTTTGAGGGGTAATTTTGACATAAAATATATAAAAACTAATAGGACTCTTAATCTCTTATATAAAAAACTGTTAATATGCCTTGAATCTGTATTTTTTACCGCTACGCAAATGAGGAAACGGGAGTCTCGCTGCCTGGTCAGCGAGTCAGGGGTCAAGGGGGGCGACGCCCCCTTGCCTAGGTCCGGGGGCAGAGTCGCCCCTGGCTCGAGGTATGCTATGTTATTGTATTGGGCCTTAGTCCGTCTTGTGTGTCTATTTATATAGAGGTAGGGCACAAAAACTCTGTACTCTAGAACCGTTGTCATAATACAATCCGCCTCCGTTCTTGCGTGTGGACGTAGCCAACACAACGTTGGTGAACCATGTTAAATCTGTGTGTCTTTATGTTTTCTGTTTGCTTAGATTACTCAATTACTCTATTCCGTAATAACAAAAGCTAATAGGACTCTTAATCTCTTATATATGTATTCTTTTAAATTAATATCTCTTATTTGTGTCCATTTTTTGTGCTCAATCAACAATTTTGATGAAGAAACTATATTTTGAAATTCTTTTATTTTAATTATTTGACATAAAATTTATTATGTTGTCATTTTACATTGTCTTTAAAAAACATTACGAGGTGTTGACCCCGGACCCCCCATTTTCTAGTATAGCTCCCACTAGCACTTGATCTTGACTCCACCACTATTTATAAATGCATGATTTATAGCTTGCTTTTTATTTTTTATATTTCTCCATTCGTCCATTTTTATTCTTTGAGGTTACTATTACGGTCTCTTGGTAACTTATGTTTGTTTGCATTTTTCCATTTATCGTTTGATTATTTTCTTGTCACATCTTGTTTTGTCAAACTTTTGATGTAGTTTTGAAGAGTATAATTTGTTTCTTATTGATATACTCCCTCCGTCCACAAATAAAGTTCCCATTGCGCGTTACGATGTTTGACTGAAATTATTTTCAAATCATTTTATATGAAAAATGGTATGGAATTAAAAAATAAAAATTACATATTTAAAAACTACATGAAAAGATCTACAAAATTAGAGGTGACATGACTATATTATTTTATCAAACAAGACACAAAAATAGGCCAACAAAGTGAATAAAGTTTGACCCTGTGAATAGTGAACGGGAACTTTATTGTTGGACGGAGGAAGTATGAATTTGTCAATAAAGTAATTTTAAAAAAGATAGGATTTTGCACGTTGTTCGAAATGAGAAGAAAAAATGGGCGGAGGGAGTATAATGTTTGATTTGCTCACGCAATAGTTTTATTAGCTTTTCTCATGAATCCGCATTTGGAAAAACCAATGTTTGCTCATGATTAGTTTTGTTTATATTTCCCACAGACCTTGTGTATCATGTGCTAGCATATTTGATTTTTTAAAACTAAGATGTCATTTAATTTATGTTGATGTCCAATTCATCTTTATGCAACATTTTATTGTAATAGTGCAACTTTAATACCCAAATAAGGATCTAGAAAAAAGCAAATGCTTTCTCGTATAGTCGTATAGAGCTTATTCAAAGTTATTTTTGAATAAACCATATTGAGAGCCATACTTTACATTAAAACATTCTTAAACTTTTAGTATCCTTTAAGTTATGCAAATGATATGAACACAGGTATATGCATATTTAAAGTGCTTTTCATAGCTTTTTCTCTGTTGCGTTATGCAGTGGCTGAAATCTTATTTGTTGTAGGTCAAAATCACACCAGATATGGCTGTGTAATTCTCTTTGGTAAAATGTGCTTTACATTTTTCTTATATATATTCATTGTACCTTATATTTTATTACCATGTTCTTTCCGCACCGATATGAAAGAAGGAAGAAGGAACCAACCTAAAGTTGAGGGGTGACGATTACCGGAATATGTGAAAGATGAATCTAGGAGCATCAAACTCTTGACACAACAATATAGCCCAGTTGAACAAATTCCCTATCCATGTCAGTTCACTTGAAATTGGCCAGTGTGAATTTTATTTCCTGATAAAACAGATGTTTAAAATATAAATAAATAAAGGCAGCTAACATGTATGCTTTGTAAGAAAGTGAAAGATAAGGAGTATATTTAATGGAGTAATAATTAAGAACATTTGTGTTGAAGTAGTGGTAGCAGAAAAAACACATGTCTTAATGAAGAGACATTCTTAGAAGTAATTCATGAAAGAAGATGGCACTAAATAAACTGCCCTATTTTAAAGAAAAACCCTAATGAAGAAAGGAAAGAGTAGTGGCACCTGAAGTCTGTTAAAAAAGAGTCTAAGAGCATCCAACTTGTGACAAAACAATATTAGTTCGTTTCATTCCCTTTCCATGTTAGTTCACTGGGAATTGGCTAATTTATAACTCATTTATACGTGTAGTGAAGTGCTAACATATTAAGAAATTAAATTCAAGCTAACATGCATGATTGATATGAAATGAAATCATACTGGGTGATTGGGGTGAATAAAACCATCCAGCTTCAACTAACTTATGACAAAACAAAATAGGCCAGTTGAACACATGCTGCTGTCTGTGTCAGTTCAATTGTAAAAAAAAGAGAAAATATTCAGTGCTTTTCCTTTTCAGTTCAAACACAACTGCCATTGTACTTTGTACCTCACTGCTACTGATTTTAAATCACCCGGTATGCACTGAATATTCATATAAAACTATTAATTTGTACGTTGGCCAAATGGCGGTTGGCTTCAGGGGTGTTGTGTGATCCGAAGATTTCGGCCAGGATGAAAGGTAAGTTCTACCTGTCCGTAGTCAGACCTGCTATGTTATATGGGGCAGAGTGTTGGGCGGTTAAGAAGACTCATGTGCGTCGTCTGCATGCGGCGGAGATGCGGATGTTACGATGGATGTGTGGGAAGACAAGGTTGGATAGGATTTCGAACGAAGTTATCCGACGTCAGGTAGGCATGGCGCCGGTGGAAGATAAAATGCGGGAAGCGAGGTTGAGATAGTTTGGTCATGTAAGATGGCGGAATGCTGACGCCCCTGTACGGAGATGCGAGAGGATTACGGTTGTCGGTGGAAGTAGGGGAAGGGGTAGACCTAGGAAGAATGGGAAGGAGGTGATTAGGCAGGATTTAGGACTTCTCACCCTGACTGAGGATATGGCTTTAGATAGGAACCTTTGGAGAACTAAGATTAGAGTTGCTGGATAGGGGCCCGGTGCTTCAGAGGCTTTTTGTAGTGTGTTTTGTTTGGTTGGAATTTTTTGCTATTGCTTGCAGGACTTTCATTCCATTGTACTTGGTGCTTTATCTGTGTTATACTGTGAGTCCTATACTCCTATCATATTTTTTTGTGCAGGTGGAGCCGGGGGTCTCTTGGAAACAGCCTCCCTACTTCCGAGTAGGGGCAAGGTCTGCGTACACACACCCTCCCCAGACCCTACTGTAGTGGGATTCAACTGGGTTGTTGTTGTTGTTTACATAGTTAATACTTATGGGCAATGTTTGAAATTGCGTATTGCGGTTTTGAGGCGTTTTTTGACGAGGCGTAAGGCGTAATCCTCGAGGCGTATTGAGGCATTAGCCTCAACTTGAAGTTAAAAATGTGGATATTACATATTTAAAATAGAACATAATTAGTCCATAAACATTAAAATAGAATCTTGCGTAAATAGGCTCTAATTGTTTAATTAAGTTACTAATTTATTCCTAAAATAATTTTTTTTGGGGGGGGGGGCAGCAAGGCGTAGGATTTTAATGCCTTGAGGCGTAGGCAATGAGGTGCATGCCTTTTTGCCTCAAATCTGAGCCTTTTCGGAAAAAAATTAAATCGCTTGAATCTAGATTGCACCAGGGTGCAATTTTTTAGAAACTGCCATGAGGCGCGTCTCTAGGCGGGATTCATTAAGCTTTTTAAGACATTGCTTTTAGGAGTAAAAGGAGAAGTGTAAAATATTTTCAATATTCCGTATCTGTGAAGGGATATTAGGTAGACCATTGCCATATGAATGAGAATACACATGGCTTGATATTAACAACAGCGCATGTGGTGCATCTGATCATTTTTGGCTGTTGTGAACTTGTGATAATGTAAACGAATAAAGGCTTCTCAATCCCTCCAATTGTATAATGGACAAAGAACAAACCAGATGAAAAAAATGGTGGATCCCTTGTTTCGGTACTACTCATCAAGTGTACTGTTTTTGTTCATTGAACATGGCATGTTATCCTTGTAGTGCCCTTAGGCAGAGTCATTTAGTCACAGTGATGATACATGTTCACGTGAAATCATCAGAGTGAAAAAAACACTCAGCTTAAAAAATACATTAGGAAGCATTTTCATTGCTTAAATTTCAAAATTCCCTTGCCATATCTGAAGAAACGAATACAAATCACTTCTTGGTTCCACCCAAAAAAAGAAAAAGAAAATATCATTTTATTCATTCATGATTTAACACACTTCAGTTCATAACATGAAAGTAGAAAGTTACAAACAAAGCATCTCAATATTATTAGCTTCTAGTGAACTTTCTCAACTTCAATCAATTTCTTCTTCTTCTCTTGGTTTGTTTGCATTCAAGGTGTAGAAGGAAAGAACACATGATGTAGTATTTTTTAGAACCTGAATTTGGCTAAAGTTGTATGTATGTTGAATGACTGTAATCTTGTATTTCAGGTTTGAAATACACATGTATGTTGAAGGGGCATCTGAACCTGAATTTTTCTAGTTTTTTTTTCTCGTGATGAATAGAGGTTGTTGATAATATGACCAGAGCCTTGAATACACTGAATGTGGATGTGTTTTGGATAGTAGTGGTCCATTTTGGATGGGAACAAACAAAAAACATTTTCTTTTCCTTTATTATATAGTTAGATTCTTGATCAACAATCGCCACCTTTCCAGTTACGTAAATAACCTCAACTGGGTACAGCAATGTCGAATCCGCTTCAGCTTCTTCTCGACCACCTCCTTCTGTAAGATGAAATTGCTCTGGGTCTCATCTTCTCTTTCTCATTTCGGTTGCGCAAACATCTAATTTGCTTGTTGTATCGATGGTAGATTATCGGAACGAGTAGGAGATTCTCTCTCCCGAGCGACCTACACCCAGCCTGAAGCGTCCAATGTCAACATCAAGTCCACTCTCGAGTCCCTTCTTCCTCATCGGATCTCGCCTTCATACTCTGATATCTCCGACTTTGAAATCACGGCCAAAATGAGTGACTTCACCCTATGTTGCGCAGCCTTGGCTGCTGCCTCTTACTCCTCTTGCGTGGAGCTCTTGTGGATTCCCAGTTCGCTCTCTGTGGCTGCAGTCTCGGCATTCAAGCTGCTCTCTGAAGCTTACTCGAATTTTTTTGGCTCCAAAGAGTCGATGAAAGTAGGCCAATTCGAGTTTGATTTGAAATTTGTGCCCAATGACGTGCGGTTACTGATTGAGTTAATGCCTCAAGTGCTTCCCTCGCTTAAAAATAAAATAAAGGAGAGTGTCATTGATAGGTCGATTGACACTGATGAGTTTTCTGCTGCTAGCGCTAGAACTCCTGCAGCTTATGCAATTCTTGCTGCCCACCAATTCAAATGGTTTGTTACCCAGGTTCGTCTCCCTTAATTATTTGATAATATTTATATTTTCCTGATTTCCTTGTTCTTTGCTGATTGTCATTTGAATTGTTTTCATTTTCAAATTTCAATGGCAAGTTAGCTAGGCCGTCTGTATGAAAGCATGGATTATTATTTATAGTTCTTTTCTTAATTCTGATTTGAATTCTTTTAAAAGGCTTGTGGTAATCTTTATGTCCTACAGGTGAGCTATCCATTTCTGGGGAAGGTTTGCTCTTTGGTCATTCCATGTGGACTAACGGCTCTAGATCACTGGTCACAAGAAGTGAAAGTGCGATTTTCTTTTCTTTCATTGTGGAAGTATTGGCAATATATAATTCTACTTTAATCCTCAGAATAGTTATTGGATAATATTAATTAGACTAGATGGAACACCTATTTGACATTTTTAGCATCTCACTTGTAAACGTGTTTGCAGCCTTTTGAAGTATTTTTTTAAGGGGAACACCTTATTGGTTAGGCTGCAGAGTGTAATTGTTCAAATCAGAGTTAGAACTTGGTATATACATGTTTTTGAGTTACTATTATTCAATATGATTTGTATCGTTGTGTTTCAGGGACAGGGCATGATTAGCTTCATACATTTATCTAAAAATGTGAATTCAGCTGATATTGGTTCGTATGAGGATGTAATTCTTGATGCTTGCTGCCAAAATATTGCTTCATCAGATGATGAAATATGGGAATATGTTGTTGAGATGTCAGTTCTCATGGTGACTCTTACCCAGAGAAATAGTCCACGGAGCATATGGTAGATATTTTGTGCATAGGATGTGCTATCGGAAGACACATTTCCATTTGTACCAAAGCTGTACACATTTTCAAAATTTCAGATGGCACTCATAATATTAACTTAATGATTTAGTCTTTTTTACTTTGTCTTTAAATTGTACAAAGGTATGAAAAGCTGCTTAATGAGATGTTGAGTCACTTGGAAAGGCAGCCTAAGAATAAGGAGCGCCGCATTGCATGGCTTAAACATATTGAGCCACTATTCAACAGTGTAGGCCTTGTACTGCTATCTCATTTTAGGCGTATTTTTCCTCTGTTCTTTAAATGGATGCATGCCGATGACGACGACACTGTATTATTGGTAAGAAGTCATTGCATTTATTTGTACAACGATGTTTAAGGCCTGGCCACTTTTCATGAAGGCTATACTCCTCACTAGTATAACTAGCAAGATGTGAACATTTATCATTCTATTTATTCATCAGTATATGAATATGCTTATTTTTGTCCTTGGCCTTAGGTACTAGAGCGTACGAAATCAGTTTTGAGATTGACATGGATACGGAATTCTCCATACATTGACAGGTTATTTTTACTTGTTACGTTTTGATTGTTATCACCAATAATTACTTGCACTTCTAGAACTTTCCCCCTTACATGTTGGTCGCCACGCATGGGGCTTGCAGATTGGTGGATGACCTTATCACTCTGTACAAGGAAGCAGCGGTGAGAGTTCTTCGTGAAGACATCAGATCGCGTATTCTTCATACACTAATATTGCTCCAGAAGTACTAAAACATCACTCAAATCTCTGTCTCTTGTCACATTTATACGATAATGTTTCTTTTGCTACTTGTTGGACTTCATATCCTTATTTTTTTCCTGCTTATTTTCCAAAGGTCCAGTGGTTTACATTTTGAAGTAGCTTGGGACAAGCACAAGAGTGATCTGGATTTGACTGTTCTCCACCAACTCTTATTGGGAAGTCATACAGCAGTGGTAGAGTAGCCCCCCTTCTAGAAATGTTTTGGATGTAATAGAGGTTTCTTATTCACATTTCAACACAGCATTGATTATAGTTGAAGTATCCATATAGGCGTATTGTTGCCCTGAGCCACTAAGGCTATACGCAAAACCAGCAATAGGAAGACTTGGCTTTTTATTAACATGAGGTGTACGCCTCATTGCTCAATGCCTTGAGGTGTAGCTATCCTTTTAATAGGATACGGAAGACCAACATGATTATTTTAGTTAATGGTTTTATTGTTCAAGCAACCTTTTTGTTTTTTGTTTATTTCTCAATTTATTTATTTATTTACTCCCTCCATCCACAAATAAACTTCTTGTTCACTATTCACAAGGTCAAACTTTTTTCACTTTGTTGGCCTATTTTCGTCATTCATTTCATAAAATAACATAATCATGTCACCTCTAGTTTTATACGTAGTATATCTTTTGATATAGTTTTTTATTATATAATTTTTATTTTTAAATTTTACACCATTTTTCATATAAAATGATTTGAAAATAACTTCAGTCAAACATCGTTACGCGCAATGAAAAGTTTATTTGTAGACGGAGGGAGTATTTATTTATTGTTCGCACCGACTTGCTGTTTTTGGGACATACAATAATGGCACAGAAATTAAGAAAAGGGAAAAATTGTATGGTTGATATTGATAATAAAGAGTAAGAATTAACAAAAGCCACAAACACTAAAAAAAAATAACCCCTCCATCCCAATTTAAGTCGACAAAATTTAAATTATTTTTATTATCTATTGTTGGTACCTATTTGAAAAAATAGTCATGTCAAATCATCCTGACCAGATTAGATTCAATCAAATCAAATAAGATCAGATCAAAGTAGATTAGATCTATCAGATTCAATCGAATTGGACAGATTGGAACCAATCAAATAATTTTTTTTAGATTAAGTTAAATAAATTAAGAAAAATGTTGAATGATAATGCTTAATTATTTTTATTATTTCATAATAATTAGTATACAATTAATTTATGTTGCATATAATATAATTTAATAATTACTCTTTTAATGTTATAAGTAGTAATAGTAATGTTAAATATGCTTAAATAATACAGAGTACTTATTATTACGGAGTATTATTTAAGTCATTATAATACTCTATTTGTTACTAAGTTTTTGTTGTCTTTGGAAAAACGTATAAAACTGTATCTCTTTTAAAATAATTTTATTTATAAAACTATAGAGATAAAGAGTACAATTTATAGATCTAAAAACTAATTCGAAATATTTACAAAACAAATGGAGACGTATCTATTTTATTTTATTAAATAATTAATAAAAACACATATTTAATGATTTCAAATACTTAAATCTCAATAAATATATAATGTTTTTTTATTTATAATATTAACAAACTATTAGACCAATTTTTAGGACGTTACAATAGATGATCAAGTTTTCCTCCAAAACCATAACTTTGGAGGAGGAAATCTCTAACCATTCTCCTCTCCTTATATTTAATATTGATTGTCTCATGCTAAAATATGTGTTAAACATAAGAAGGGGTGGGGGAGGGGGTGAATAGTGTGGGATGGGAATGTTAAAAAATAATTGCAGAATAAAATATTGCAGGTGTAAAGTGTGAAAATAAAAGAGCGAGGAACGTGTGGCTACATCCAGTTCCTGAGGCTATACTAGTTCACCATTACTTGTGGCTACATCCAGTTCACCATAACATAAAATATTGGCTACATCCATTATGTGGCTACATCCTACATAAAAAATTGCAGGTGTAAAGTGTGAAAATACAAGGAATCTTATGCTAGTTCACCATAACTTGTGGCTACATCCAGTTCCCGAGAGACTCTCTTGACTTTTCCACTAACCTTGTTAAGCTTACGTGTGCTTAACAAACCATTTATAACCGCTCACAGATGTATCTTCTAAAGACTTCAAGCGCTCGGACTCTTCACCCAAGACTTCACATCGCTCGAACTCCTCGGCGGAGACATCACCACTACGATTATAGGTTCTTGTTGGAATTTTTGGCATTTTTAATAGGCATTAAAATGGGCCAACTTGGGTATATTTGTCAATAAGTCCACTAACGGTTTTAACCGTTAATTAATGGACGTGTTTTCTCTTAAATGAGATAAATGTTTTGACAAATAATACGCCAAAAATGGTAGAGGGTGAATGAGAAATTGATTCTCAGAGTTAACCCGTTAATAAAAGAATATGGTAAGGATTGCAATATTTTGCAATTTTACTGAGCCAATCTTCTATTATTAATTTTACGTATTGTTTAAAATTAGTCCTTTTTACGCAGTTAACTGGCCATTAATCTCCAATTATTCGGGACAAATTTTAAACGGAGCGTAGCGTAACAGACGTGTTAATGGCTAATTAATCACCATTAACACACCACAAATGCCATGATTAATTCCAATGGTTAATGGTGGGAGTTACATTTTTCCTAAACTCCTTAATTATAAAATCAAAGCTCACTCCATCATTTCTTGTGTGCTTCACGTGAGAAACAAAAAGAAAAAAGAAAGAAAATCTGTCTTGTTTATTTTTTGAGAGAGCTCTTGATTTTCCGGCCAAATTTCCGACCATCCCCTTCAAAGTTTTTTGGTCGCCAACGTTCCTACGTTGTTTTTGTTCGTTGGGGTGTGGTTGGTCCGTACATCTCCAGACACGATAGCGGTTTTATCCTGGGAGGAGAGTGCCCACGTTTTTCCGGTACGGTAGGCGGGCACTACTACCTTAAGGACAGCTCCGGCGACTCCGCTGTCCTTCACGGTGTTTTGTTTTGCAGGTTTAGTTCATAAAGACCTCGCTGCATTCTGCCCTAGTGCATAATGTCCTCGCAGCCCAGTGCATAATGTCCTTG